TTAAAAACAAAAACAAAACATTATTTTTTAATATGTTAATGACAATTTTTCTGTTTTATTGAACCTTTTAAACCATTTAAACGTTATTATCAGCATTGTTTCAGGGTTTTTATTATGTAAAGTGACAATTCAGATTTCCTTCTGCTTTATTCTTCATTATTTTTATTTTCTCATTTATCCATTCTTCTCTGTGCGTTTTCTATTTATTCAGGTTTATTATTTTTACACCGCTCTGCTCACACTTTTATTTTTTGCACTCAGTTATTTATCTGTTTCCATTAAATCCCCTCCCATCAAATCAAACTATTTGTTTCTGTGTTTGTTTGTTTTTTTTCTATTTCCATATTTTTCATTTAACCCTCACTCCCTGTGATTTGTTTTGATCGGTCATCTCGACACTTCTGCCGGTTTGAGTTGCAGAGATGAAAAGCATAAATCTGCCCTGAATTGTTCTAAATCGTCGAGAGCGAGGCTTAATGAAACCGTGATGACAAAAATAAAAATGGAAGCAGAAACTAAATTCAATCATTACAAGCCGTCATTTGAATCTATTGTTCCATCTGACAATCGTCAGTCGGAGTCGTTCGTTTCTCCCTCTGCCCGCCTCTGTTTCCTTTAAATGAGACACAACAGTTGCTCCTTTTTATGTCAGCAATTCCATTTGGACGTTATTGGGACGAGGACGATGATGTGGAAGCAGGCAGACAGCTTCCAAACGATGCTAAACAATAACGGCCCGAGACACTGGGACTGTTTTCCAATTCAATTTCATAGTGAATAACCTGCAGTTTGATTTGATATTTATTTTCTCCCCTCAATGGGGGCTCAAATATAGAGGTGGAGGTGGGGGGTGAGGGGGGGTATTTTTGCCTGGGCTCTGAGGCAGAAATGGAGAATGACGTCGTTAACATCCTCTGACAGTTAAATGTTTCAGTCTGAGGCAGCGACGACAAACGAGAAAACTGAGATTTTCTGATTGAAACAACGAGAAACTCTGGTTCCACTTTAGAAAAAGGATAAACTTGTAAATGATTCTATAAAAACACTTTATAAAGCATTAATTAAATGGTATAAAATTAAATAACTTTATAGGAGCAGGACTTCATTAATATATTGTTTCATCAATTAAAATGATTAAAGTTTTATGAGTTGGTTGATTATAACATTCTGCAGGTTATATATAAGGCTGATAAAATGTGTTGCCTGTGAAACTCAATCAAAGTTTGTTAAGAGGTTAAGCTGCTATAATTTGAAGGGACTAAAAATGTTTGTTAAACCAAAAATCTGAACAGATTTGAAGGACAGATGCACTTTAGTCAGAGTTATAAGACTATGGAATAATCTGTAAAATGATTCTAAAAGTATTGGATTAATCACTTTGTTTAAAAAAACAATGAAAGGGAAATTGTTTAGTCTGTATTTGTAAGTTACTGTTTTAGGAGAGAGCTTTTTTTTGTTTTATTATTTGATTGTTATTTTTGTTTTTTTGAAAATAGGGTCAGATATTAGATTTTTTTTTCTTCTTCTGCCACCTTTCATTTGATTTGATTTGTATTGTTTAGTTGTGTGTAATGACTTTTGTTTTGTTTTCTAAATGAAATAAATAAACATTCTAACAAAAAATTCACCCTGCTGCAGGACAAAGAAAAGGTCACATGACTGTTATTGTTGCGGGGGGCTTCGGGGGGCTATGACCCCCACAATAATTTGGTCCAATCAATATAACCCCCCCCCCCCACCCCCACACACACACACACACACACACACACACACACACACACACACACACACATACACACACACACACACACTCGCCAATAAAATGACATCATTTGTTCTAACACAATAAAAATGAACTGGATAATACACCGCTTGTTTTTATAACTTTGAGCTGATTTTAAAATTTACTCTGGTTGTGTCCAAATAAAGGGTTTGGGTCTTTTGAAGGACACGGCCTACCTGGTCTAGGTGGGCCGGGTCCTTGACTGCGAAGACTGAAAAAAAAAATGGTTATGAATTTACCCCGGCGTACGTCCTGTCGCCTTGCAACAGCATGACCCGAAACAGAAGGAAAAATAGATCAAAATGATCAAAATATCAATATTTTAGTTTAATAAATATTATAAAACAATAAAATAAACTTAAAGGTAATATTTGAAGAATTTATGGACCCGCCGTATAGGTGCAGGTTTATTTCTCTAAACCAGCTTGTTTTTTTTCTTCTGACAAGAATAATGTTAAAAACATGTTATTAACAACTCAACTGCTTGAAACTTTTGATTTTTATACCGACAGATTGTTCTTTAAAACTGTACTCCTTTCTCTCACTTCGTCCACCATTAGCAGAATAAAAATCTCCAGCTCGCAGTGCATTATGGGATATGGTGAACCGAGAAGGATCCATGGGACCCGTCCCTCAAATCAGTGTAAAAAGACTCATTTGAGTTTGGACAGCCAACGAATTCGGCCTTCGGAGGACCGAGCCCCTGAATTTAGACACAGCCGATGTCATACAGTGTGTACGTTTTAGCATAATCACTAACTCTTGGAAAATTAAGAAACTTAAGTATGTCTTATCATCCTAATAACGTAAAATATTTGTTACTGTTGAGAAAAAAATCTTTATTGTTGAACTGGTGTGGAACAGAAAAGGTGCACCGTAGAAAACAGGAAACAAGTAAATCACAGTAAAAGTATTACAATGTATTTTAACCCCAAAATATCTTGAATCGTTTTACAAAAGTAAATTATTCCTACATAAATAATGACCCCCCTCCACACACACACACACACACACGGGTAGACTTAAAAAGTTACACCTTTGAACAGTAGAATAATTACTACATTTATTCAAGTATAATTCGTAAAATTTAATCCAGAATATCATCCATAGAGTTGGGGGGGTAGTACTATACTCAGATAAATATATTTACTTGTGTATTTTAACTGAAATATCGGCTTCATTCACAAAATGCATGAGTCCGGAAATGAGACTGCGTTGTAAAAATCAGTTGAAGCGAGCCCTGACACTCCTCTGTGCTTCAGAGTGAGATAGTAACAGATCCAGGCAGAAGACATGATGTGAAAAAAGGGGAAGCAGTCCTGTACCTTAGTAATGATAACAAACTAATGACATTAGTGTGTGACTGGGCCGCTCCTCGAACAACAACAAACACACGTTCGTCTTTAATGGCTGCCGTCTACCGGTGTTCTGAAAAAGTTTTTATCCCTGAAAAAAGTTTCCCCACCAGAGGGGGCGCTCACGAGTAGGAAGAGATCTGCTTTTCCCCCAGAAGATGGTCCAAATCTCATGTGAAGTCTCTGACTTTTGTGTTGGCGCCTCCTGGTGGACTATGTGTAAAATGCCAGAATTCATATGATGCTGCTACAGCTGATATACACTCACCGGCCACTTTATTAGGTACACCACGCTAGTAACGGGTTGGACCCCCTTTTGCCTTCAGAACTGCCTCAATTCTTCGTGGCATAGATTCAACAAGGTGCTGGAAGCATTCCTCAGAGATTTTGGTCCATATTGACATGATGGCATCACACAGTTGCCGCAGATTTGTCGGCTGCACATCCATGATGCGAATCTCCCGTTCCACCACATCCCAAAGATGCTCTATTGGATTGAGATCTGGTGACTGTGGAGGCCATTTGAGTACAGTGAACTCATTGTCATGTTCAAGAAACCAGTCTGAGATGATTCCAGCTTTATGACATGGCGCATTATCCTGCTGAAAGTAGCCATCAGATGTTGGGTACATTGTGGTCATAAAGGGATGGACATGGTCAGCAACAATACTCAGGTAGGCTGTGGCGTTGCAACGATGCTCAATTGGTACCAAGGGGCCCAAAGAGTGCCAAGAAAAGATTCCCCACACCATGACACCACCACCACCAGCCTGAACCGTTGATACAAGGCAGGATGGATCCATGCTTTCATGTTGTTGACGCCAAATTCTGACCCTACCATCCGAATGTCGCAGCAGAAATCGAGACTCATCAGACCAGGCAACGTTTTTCCAATCTTCTCTTGTCCAATTTCGATGAGCTTGTGCAAATTGTAGCCTCAGTTTCCTGTTCTTAGCTGAAAGGAGTGGCACCCGGTGTGGTCTTCTGCTGCTGAAGCCCATCTGCCTCAAAGTTCGACGTACTGTGCGTTCAGAGATGCTCTTCTGCCTACCTTGGTTGTAACGGGTGGTTATTTGAGTCACTGTTGCCTTTCTATCAGCTCGAACCAGTCTGCTCATTCTCCTCTGACCTCTGGCATCAACAAGGCATTTCCGCCCACAGGACTGCCGCTCACTGGATGTTTTTTCTTTTTCGGACCATTCTCTGTAAACCCTAGAGATGGTTGTGCGTGAAAATCCCAGTAGATCAGCAGTTTCTGAAATACTCAGACCAGCCCTTCTGGCACCAACAACCATGCCACGTTCAAAGGCACTCAAATCACCTTTCTTCCCCATACTGATGCTCGGTTTGAACTGCAGGAGATTGTCTTGACCATGTCTACATGCCTAAATGCACTGAGTTGCCGCCATGTGATTGGCTGATTAGAAATTAAGTGTTAACGAGCAGTTGGACAGGTGTACCTAATAAAGTGGCCGGTGAGTGTATATTTCTTGTCAAAATACCTTTTAGTACAAATGTTGTTAAAAAAAAAAAAGAACAGTCCAATGATCATTTTACTGATATGTATAAAGACTGCAAAGGCTGAAAAATCTTGGTCTGTATGAAATTGGAGGTAGTTTGAGGATTAAATTTTTATGCTTTTTAAGCTCAAAAAAAAGAGGGGGTCATATTATACATGAGATCGTATTATACACGAATAAATACGGTAATCCAAATATTATTTTTTATCACTGTAATCTAAAACAACATTAATTTTCTGTCACCGTTGCTCAAATTAAACCAGAAACTTTTTGATTAAAGCAAAGATTTCTCAGAATAATTTCATGTTTTGATTCTGTTTTCATGTCCTCTCCGTCCAACAGCAGATCCAGGATGCTGCTGATCAGGGCGTGATGTTTGTGGGATTCGTCCAGGAACCTTACGGAGCCCCGTGCACCCGCATCCGAGAGCCGGAGACCCCTTCGCTGTCCCTGCACTCCAGCCCCAGCTCCGTGCTCGGGTCCCTGTGCAGCAGCAGCCCCTCCGACCCCTCCAGCCCCAGAAACCACGCGGACCCCCGAGCCCCGGTCGACGGGGCCGACAAGAACCAGAGCCACGGCGGAGTCTCGCCCGCAGCCTCCCCTCTGTCCGACGGAGACCTGCAGAACAGCGAGGAACTGACGGAGGAGGACTCGCCGTGCCACAACAACAACAAGGACCGGGGCACGGATCCAAAGCAGAGGCTGAGATACCGGAGAGGTGATGGTGAGTGGTCGCCACGGCAACAATCACACATCAACACTGAGAGGAAAGGATGTGTTAAAAAAATACAATTTACATGATGTGAAAATGAAAGAACCAAAGAGGGGAAAAGGAATAAACTCTGAATCTGAGACACTAATTTAAATTCAAAATAATTTTTTTTTACCTCAAGTGGATTTTTTTTATAAAAATTAAACTGCAGACATGTTTTCCAGATGGAGAATAAAAATATGTCCAAAACATCAAATCCTTTTAGCCAACTAACATCTGCTGAAGATCATAGAGTCAGCCAGAGGATGGAAGTTAATGGAGAGAAACTCAAACTCTCCTTTTGGCCCTTTAATGAATCGTGTTTCTGTCCAGAATCATGTGGTTTTAATATCAACAGAACCTGTTTAAGAGGAACCTCTTCTGTTGGATTCAAAGACCAACAGAATGTTTATTTTTTGTAATATTCTTTGTTCTTTCAAACCAAACCAGACCAACCTTTTATCAGGCAGGAAACCAGTTTATGTTTAATATATTTTACCAACAGATGAAACCTCAGAGATAGGCTGAGAAGCTCAGTCATCCAGGAGGGACTCAGAGTAGAGTCGCTGCTCCTCCACGTTGAGAGGAGCCAGTTGAGGTGGTTCATCTGGTTAGGATGCCTCCTGGACGCCTCTCTGGTGAGGTGTTCCGGACACGTCCCACCGGGAGGAGAACCAGAGGAAGACCCAGGACACACTGGAGGGACTGTGTTTCTCAGCTGGCCTGGGAACACCTTGGGATTCCCGCAGAGGAGCTGGTCCAAGTGGCTGGGGAGAGGGAAGTCTGGGTCTCTCTTCTTAGGCTGCTGCCCCCGAGACCCGAATGCTGCTGCCCCCGAGACCCAAATGCTGCTGCCCCGAGACCCGAATGCTGCTGCCCCCGAGACCCAAATGCTGCTGCCCCCGAGACCCGAATGCTGCTGCCCCCGAGACCCGAATGCTGCTGCCCCTGAGACCCAAATGCTGCTGCCCCCGAGACCCGAATGCTGCTGCCCCCGAGACCTGACCCCGGATAAGAGGAAGACAACGGACGGACAGAAGAAAACTTTACAGGTTCATAATTTGGAGCATGAAGGGCACTTATCCACACTTATATCTATCCAGTCGTCCATTCAACAGATCATCCATTCATTCATCCATCCATCAGATCATCCATCCATCCATCAGATCATCCATCCATCCAACATATAATCCATTCATCTATCCATCCATCAGATCATCCGTCCATCCATCAGATCATCCATCCATCCATCCATCCATCCATCCATCCATCCATCAGATCATCCATTCATTCATTCATCCATCCATCCATCCATCCATCCATCCATCCATCCATTCATTCATTCATTCATCCATCCATCCATCCATCCATCAGATCATCCATCCATCCAACAGATCATCCATCCATCCATCCATC